ACCCTGTATAAAAGATTCATGGATATATTCTGAGAGCCCACATCAAGTGCCAATAGCAAAATGTGGACAGATTTTCAATATGTCTGCGAATAAAGAAGATATAGGCAAAAAAATAATTTGGGATTTTTTTGTTTTTCCTGAACCAAAAGAGCTATATTCGATTTCTTCCCATCATTGAATAGGTAACTTTGCAAAATACGCAACTTTGCTATAATTTAACCGACACTTTATCTCTTATCGTTTACGAGATCCCCAAGTACAGAAACGAATTTGAATAGCCCTGTATAAACTTCGGGATCTGTTGTTGAGCGTACAAACAGAGTCGTCTACTTTTGATTTCTGTGTGTCAATAATCACAAATACATCGTCCACATATCAGATCCAAGTTTTTGGAAAGTAATTTAACTCTTTTTTGCTACCAGTTCAAAGTTACTCATGAACTGATTAGCCATACACTATGAGGGTAGGGTGAGTTTTCATTACTGTCTGTAGAAAATTTTGTTAAACTGAAAGTAATTCTGTTCCATGCAGATAAATGTTGGTTTGATGTAGTCTTTGATTACTTATCCACTGAAATCAATGACTCTCAGAAGCTCCCTCAGATATTCGTTAGTTTTTGATAAAAGGACACTTGAAAACAACGAGGATACATCAAACGATACTGAAATCTCTCCATCTCTCAACTTCACATCCTCAACTTTTCCAATAAAGCCCATTCAAATTCAATTGTATACTTAAGAGAAATGAAATGAGAATTTTGAAATTCCCAAAAGGGATTGCAATTCAAGTAGTATCATTTCCACCTTCTTCGCAGTTTGGTTACTGAAAGTAATCATTATGAGTGAGCTGCTACAAAAATGCCTTCATTTTCAGAGATTATTTCTGTTTTTCCAAAATGCAGATTTTGAACTATTCAGAAATCGTCTTGTATAAAAATCATATAACAGTCTTGGTCAGTACCTAGTCAATCAATCAATAGTTCCAGTTCATTTTTCTTTTCGTCGTCCATCCAATTATTGGACTTTCCTGAATACATTTTCTGCAAATACAGTCCTGGCATTCCGCCTTCCGTGTTATGCCTCATCTGGCACACGTTTCTAGATTAGATAAGAGGGGCTGGACGAGTCCCGAGTCCTTCGATGGGTGACCCCTTTTATCTAGGGGCTCACGTTATAGAATACATAACGTCAACTTCATATTTGCCAGTCACCCCCGAGATTACAGTTATGTTGTAATATGTTTTCATCGGCACGTTCGAGATTTCGGAAGGGGGTTGGAGGTGTTGGGTCGGGAAGTACGGAAAATATGTGGGTCTTTTATTGAATTGCAGTTCTTTGTTTGTTGTGCACGGACTGCATATGAATGTCATGCATATGTGATGCAGTTGGATTCCCGAGGGGACACCTGAATTTCACCGAGGTGAGATTGTTCACCTTGTTTCTTCAAGTATATATGATGATGATGATATGACACCTTTAAAGAGTATGTTCCATACGAAATTATTGATCGTCCACTGATATGGTATTTTCTTGCATATTCATAAAATATATTCATTAGAGATATTGCAGATCGACTCTTCGAGAAGCTTAAAAATTTTAATATTTCATACTGAATGTGAGCAATTTAGTGCACTGTCACATATCATTTGTTTCATTGCTAAATTCATTTTCAAAAAAAATAAAATTCATTATATTAACTAAGAAATCAAATGTCTGTTGAAAAGTCTGTTAGAATCTGTCTTTTCGTTAACCAGCTGTCATTCCCTTACGAACAACTCCCAAAAGTCGAAATTTGTGCAAGCTAAGGACTAACGAGGTTTTATCTTTTAACGTGTGATTCCTAACAATCACAATTATACTAGAATTGATTTTTTCTCACATATAGTCAGTGGGCATACTGGCCCACTGACTATATGTTATAGCCACCGGCTATAAATCAAATCATCTAAAAGAACAATTCGTTCAGGTCAGTCTCAACTTCCTACATTATTGACGATAACTCCGGACACACGCATAGGACATGCCTGGCAGTTTCATCTTCCTGTTCACACTTCCTTCATAGAGGTGTGTCCCATACTATGGAGGTGTTTCCTTAATTGTCAGTGGCCAGTCAGAAATCCTACTGTCAAGCATAGGTTTTTCTGGTCATCCCCAGATATTTCTTCGGCGCCAGCTTCCCAGGGTCGCCCAGGGTGATCCTGGCAAGACTGCATCCTTTGATTCCATCCCATCTCTTTAGGGATATAGCACGGGTGTAACGTTTGGCTGGTTCTACAATTGTCGAATTGGCTAAAGAGTCGGTAATGCGATTACCTTTACGCCTGTCGTGCCCTTCAACCCACCTCAGGATGATGTTATTATCTACCGAGGCTTTGGCTAAATCTTGGTGGCACTCTAGTATTAGCCCTGAGGTAACACGTTGTGTACTATGAGTGCAGATTGTTATGTTTCTGCCAGAAATTTCTTTCTTGGTAATTTCTTTTGTGGCGATTGAGGTACCATCCAGTTCTGTTTGAAGCATACTGGTATTTTTTCCATTCCCCACTCAATCTTCAAGCTAAATGATCTGGAATCACCACAGCCAAATTTTCCGATCTATAAATCATAAGGAGTACACACCTCTAATGTAGAATATTTAAAGTATCCAAAGTATGGGATGAGATACATCTATCTTGATATTTGTGTGTGGTTATGCAAGTACAACAAAAAAAGTGTTCCAAAACACCAGAACTACAACACTCCTCCCGACGTATGTTTCACCAACCAAGTTCACTTCTTCAGGAAATAGAATAGACTAATATCTAACTCTTACTGGTGTTTATTCATATCTAACAGGATATACTTTCACTTCCACTTTCAGAAATTTCAACTGAGTGATTCATAAAAAGGTAAACGATGGTCTGTTTGAAATGGGACCGTTTGTAACTGTTCATGGTTCTCATGCTACTTTTAACTATTTTTAGTCTTTCGAAAGTATCCAAAAATCTAATATCATGTACCGATCTCAACAACATCAGAAAGTTTTCATTCATTTCATGGCCGTTATCCAAGGCGTGTTGAGCGATAGGTACTAGATTTTTCTGGTCTCCGAAATTGGATATGTGCTAAGTGTTCTTTGAAACGAGTTCCAACGATTCGCTTGGTCTGAGCGATATATTTTCATCTCAGTCCTTACAGATCATTTGATATATCCCTACCTTTTCATTTTTTAATATTTTGTCTTTGGGGTTACCTAACATAAGTTGAACTGAATATGTCGTTTTGTTCAAATTCAACTCTTCGAACATGCGATCTAATCTATAAGTTTATCTTAGTTCATACAGAGGGACAATGAAATTCAGTTTCTTTTTTCCTAAGGTCGAAGTTTTACGAAGATTCGTCCTAAATGAATGTTTCCATATTAGCTTTTTCTACTCTTCTACAGACAAAAGCAAGTTTTGAAAATGTATGTATCTCTTATTCGCCATTTTTCGATAAATTGTCATCAAATAGTAATAAATTCGAATACCATTGAAATTGAATTGAAAGTCCTTAAAACTTATGTAGTTGGCCTTTACCCTTCCCTTTCAAGATGGCAAAGGTCTACTAAAAAATGATATATTCAAATTGAGACCATTTATACAGGGTCAAAATATATACAGGTAGGTCATAAATTGAAACCACATACTCTGGGGTCAAAAAAGACTCGGTTCGATATAAGTAACCTCAATACAAAAATGCATACATGAAAATTTGCAGCCCTAGGAAAGAACTGTCCAACATTTTGTGATGGAAATGAATCTATGGCTTTTTTATCGTGAGAGCATCTTTTTCATATACAACCACGAAATCTGTTCGACCCATGGGGGTACTGAACCCCTGAAACCAACAAAACTTTTCTATGCGTCATTATTAAATGAATATTGTGACACCATTGGTCAAATATATCTTTTTTTTGACACATAAAATGTTTGATGGAATCGTTTATGATAAAACTATTCATTTTTCATGAATAACTGATTAAATGATTTTTTTTTATTTCAAAGTCTTTCAACAAAAATAATCTTCACTTACCTATCACTGCTAACAAAAATGATTTCAAAATTTGGTTCCTTTTTTCTAATGAGCCTATATACTTCCGCCAACTGTGGAGTGAATGCTCGGCAAGGGGGACACTATAAAAAATTCCTCATATCATATTATAAACTCACAGTAGAATAACTTACCCAGTTAGCAGAAAAATAGAAACCTTTGATACTATCTGGTAGATCACCATATCTGATATCCTCTTTGGTAAAATTTTTGTGTTCTGAAGGGTACGTGCCACCAGGTTGGAGTACCACATCTTTCAATACCTAGAAATATCGAATAGGGTGCTCAAACTATATGAAAATTAGGTATGATGTGAGTATATTTTGACGAAATGAAATACCAACTTGGTATCTTTTGATCTGACAAATGAATGAAGCATGATATACAATAACAAAAATAAATAAACAGTTACATCAACATCAACAATATCACGAACTACTGAAAAAACTGAAGAACTACCACGTGTGGTATCTCAATAAATGAACTTACTTGATCAACAGGTCGTGGTCTCCAAGGAAAATTTGTTCCACAGGGATCTTCCAACAGCCTCTCTTGGGCTGATACACTTATTGTAATACCTTCTCGTCCTAACAGTACTAATGTTGGTACTCCTGATTTTATTCTGTACCTTCTTGAAAGTCTTGTCTGAAATAGAGAGACTATAATGAGAACAAATAAAAATATAGAAAACAAATCATTAATCTATTAATAGCATCAATCAATCAAAAAGTTTCATTGAATCTGATGAAAGTTTCATACTAGCCTCAGAATGTCAATGAATTCATTTCAAATAAAAACAGGGAGTGACTACGGAAGCGCAGAAGAGCCACGTGTGTTTATTGGAAAGCACGTTTTTTTTAATTTCAAAATAACCCCAGCAATCGCCAGGAGTTGTTAGCGGGGAAACAATTAGATATAATAAATTATATTTCATTCAATACATGAATAGATTTTGAAAAAGTTAATAAAGAGTTCAAGTTCACTACTTCTAATGCAGAACTGAGATCACTAATAGGAAGTCTTGCCTCTTGCTTTCATATTCAAAAACTGGGCACTCCATGAATATCTGCTTTACACTTTTGATCACAACAAAGACATCTCATTCCGCAGCATATTCATTCTTCATAAGGTGTTCGTCAGAAAGTTTTGTGTGTCCGATTCTTAGAAGAGTAAGAATGACTTGATGTTTTCTTTGGGTCGATTGGTAGTTCTGGGAGCTCATGTCGGGATTTATTCCCCGTAATTTATTCATTTCCATGTCTATGCAACTTTTCTTTCCAAGTGTTTGATAGTAGTTTCCTTATTGTATTGAAGTAATATGTATAGGGAATTTGTTCAAATAAAGTTACCGAAGGGGTAACGGTAATATTACGAGCGACTGCATCGGCTTTCTCACTGCCTCTGACTCCAGTATGAGAAGGTCTCCAGACTGGTTCAATACTTTTTTAATTCTGCATTAGCTTGGTTAACCCCTTCCAAATACGAACAAGCAGCGCATTGCTTGGGTATAGCTGTTTGACCCTATGGATTGCGCTAAGAGGATCGGTGAAAATAACAAAAGTTACCTTCCAGTCTTTCACAGTATGCTTGGGCTATGGCGTACAATTCACCTGTATCAACACTACAAATCGACGGCAAACGATAAGCATGCTTCTTATCTCTTGTCTTTGAAACTAGAAATTTCAACATTATTCGCCATGAATCTTACAGCTAAACATCAAATGTCCACCAGTGAGGATGACAGTGTTCCATGTAAGTGATATTTTACCTCTTTCATTTACTATATTGTGTACCAATCCTCTGAATGATATTTGATTCAATTCCATAAGGAATGTTTGGAATACATACTGAATAGAGAAAAGTGTTTTTTGTATAATTTAATATTCATATAAAAGTATTTGTTTCGAATGTATTTTTTTTTCGTGTAACTCAATGTTTAGTAGCTGATTCCCTATTTTTTCTGTATAAAGATGGAGAAGTAGGAAGCCAAATATCCTTATGTTCTCATGTAACCAAAGTCCTCAGCTGTCATCTAGACTTTCTGACGAAACGATGTTATTTCGAGTTCTAGTCATCTCATTCAACGTCAAAAACACAACCAAAAATATGAACGGTTCTAATCTTTGCTTGATAAAATTATAGTTCTCATTTTCAACAATATCATTATACTATTTCAAATTCAATATGTTTCATGACAGGTACCTGTCACCCACAATCGGTTTCAATGGGTGGGATTATTTCCTTCGATGTTTTTTGTTCGCCTACCAGTTATTTTTTCCGAAGATGGGTGGTTATTAGTAACACCTTTATTAAGACAGTTAATACACATTCGACTTTCAAGCGGGAGTGTCTGCAATCTTACAGTGCACAAGATATAGTAATTTGATGTTTTGACGAAATAAACGGATTAATATTCTTGGAGAGATCCAGGCAGCACATTGGAGCATTTTTGAACCCAAGAGTTCATCAATGCTCTATGTTTGAGAATAACTGAAGAAACTGGTGAGCTGATACACACTGACTCTACTTTAGATACCCGAAAACTTAGGAATCAAAGCTACAGCTAACGAAATATTTTTTCTGATTGATTCGGCCATTACTTGATGAAGATCCATAGTAATTTCAAAAAAGAATGCGTGAAAAATCACCTGCAAACGCACACAAGAAAACCTTCATGAAGAAACCGTTTGAAAAAAGAACTGAAGAATGCTTTTGCAGGAATTGGCTCAAAATAATTATAGGAATATCTACTTGAAAATTAAAAACACTGATCGAAATAGGACTGTATAAAAAATAATTTACTTGCAGGAAATACAAAAAAAAACGAACAGGCAGCTCATTGTGTGCATTGCGAATGTGGGGCAATGGATCACAAAAAGAAGTCAATTTACAGACCACCCAAATTGTGTTCTAGAGAATATGTCAAATATCATACAAATCAGTGCAGGGTGATGAGGCTACAGTATTTTCCTGGGATCAGAAAAAAGTGGACAGCCGGATCCCAAATAGCAAAAAAACACCTTCATTAACTAATGAAGCTGTTGGATTTGTATCAATATCGTGAATATTCACAAAATGCCTGGGTTGGTCACGCTAAAATCTACTTAACTACATGGGCTGGAAACTCTCGGATCTAACACATTCAAAAGAAAGCTGTTAAAATATCATGATATTCTACTCATAAGTTTGCGAGTTATCGTGCTGAGAGTGATACTACTTCTGTTATTTTCAAAACAATGGATCAAAAACAATTTCGTATTTTAATTTTACATTGCTTCTTGATAAAAAAATACCTTCATACGTAGCAATGGCTTGAAAAGTGTTATTAGTCTAATCAACAAGTTCAAAAACATGAAAAATAGATATAAAGGTCCTAAAATATGAACGAACAATGGAAATTTTTTACCTGCACCAAAATCCTTCAAAAACATTTCTCTAGAGATGATTCAGAATCGAATGAGCTATCGCTCATATTTTTAGGACCTTTAGCTCTATTTTTCATGTTTTTGAACTTGTTGATTAGACTATATAAGGACTCCGCTCCATCAGAAACAACAAGTACGAGTGAACGTTGGTTTGCTGACTTTAAACGTGGTCGTAGAGACACCGATGATGCAGAACGCAGTGGACGTCCAAAAGAGGCAGTATCACCAGAAAACAAAAAAACCACAAAATCGTTTTGAATGATCAAAAAGTGAAGTTGCGTGAGTTAGCTGACATTATAAAGATATCAAAAGAACGTGTGTTCTGTTCGAAGCGAGTGCCGCGCGAGCTAACTGTTCGACAAAAAACAAGAACGTCTTGATGATTCTGAGCAGTGTTTTGCCATGTTCAAAAACAAACCGGAATTTTTGCGTCCATATGTGACAGTGGATGAAACATGTTTCCATCACTTCACTACAGATTTAAAACGATCGTCATCTGAGTGGAGAGCAACTGGTGAACCTCGTCCAAAGCGTCCAAAAGCACAACTATCGGCTGGAAAGGTATGGTATTCGTATTCATCGACTGTCTCGAGAAGGAAAGTACTATCAACAGTGAATATTATATAATGTTATTGAAGCGTTTGAAGGCCAAAATTGCGGAAAAAAAAGCCCATTTGGAGAAAAACAAGGTGCTGCTTCATCAAGACAATGCACAGTATCACGAATCAATGAATACGATGACTTGATCTCTGTTTGTTGCTTATTTATATGAATGGGGAATGTTCCTCAATTTGGGTTATTACAGCAAATTACAGTTTGAACAAAATAAAGTTGAGTTTAATTCATGACTTTTTCAAATTCACTTCGAAAAGTATTCAAATTAATGTTTCAAATGTTGGGTTTTAATTTTAAAAGGGATTTGTTTCTAATTCACATATTGGCAACAGCGCCTNACACTGTTCTGAACCAGAAAACTATACAGACCTCAGCAACTTTTGATGCTTTATAAAGCTCAGATCAGACCTTCTTTGGAGTATTGTTCTCATGTATGGAGCTCTGCCCCCAAACATACCCTGAAATTGCTGGACTCCATCCAGAAGAGCCATCCGCCTGATAGGAGACGCGAACATCACGTTCAACCTTGATAGCATGGAACATCAAAGAAAAGCTAGAGATTTGTCTCTCTTCTATAGATACTTTCACGGGAGGCTCTCTGGGAGTGCTTTAAAGATTTTCCTGTAGTGCTCGTGTTTTGTCCTTAAAAAAAGACTTTGACTTTAATATCGAAATTTTGACTTCAGTCTCGAAATTTTGACTTTAATTTTCGAATTTAGTTTCGAAAAGTCGATAATTCAAAACTGAAGTCAAAATTTCGAGACTGAAGTCGAAATTCCTAGTTTGTAGTCTCAATTTTGGATTTGGAATAAAAAATTGTAAAATGACTCATTTCATTACACTTTATGAAAATAGACCTAAATTTGACTTCAATCTCGAAATTTCGAGTTTACGGTCAAAATTTTGAGATTGAAGTCCTTATTTCCAAATTGAAATTGAATTGCAGTCGAAATTTCAAATCTGAAGTCATAATTTCGAGAATGAACTTATGATGTTACAAGAGCATAAGGCTTACTTCACCCAAAAACTTTATTTTAGCCAAACAGGGAAAAACTTTTCACAAAGAATAAAAGAACATAATCGAAGTTTCTTGAATATGACGCCTAATTCCACATTTGCAAACCATCTTTTGGCAGAGAGTAACCACGAATATAACGTATCACCTATATTTTGAAAAGAAATGTTTGAAATGCAATCTTCCGGAATGTTTGGATATTAATAGATTACGGAATTCTGAAAATTAACTGAGTGACCAAATAGAATTGAATTCCACCCTTGTATCAAGTCTGTTGAATATTGTTTGAAAATTTGATGAGTTGGTAAGATTTCTTTCATTTATTTTGAATTATTCAATACCTGTGTTCAGATAAAATTTGATGAGTTGGTAAGATTTCCTTCATTTATTTTTAATTATTCAGTACCTAAGTTCAGCTGAAATTATTAGTCATCAGGTAGGTGGGTCATAGGTAAAATTCAGTCAATATGTGGACACGCCTGAGTTATTGTATAGTGAAACACGCGAAACAGTTAATATCTCACAATAAAATTTCTTGAATGAGAGTTTAAACCCAAAATAGATAAATCAATAGAGAATGAAGAAAAAATATAGTTAGATGTTTGTATGATAGAGCAAAAACAGTTTGCAATTCAGTTCACAGAATGAAAGAGGAAATAACTATCATTAAAACAGTTCTGAAGCAAAAAGCATTTCCGGTGCAGTTGGTGGAAATATTTCTCAATGAAGTTGTCAAAAGCAATATACAACATAAACAGATCCCACAATCACTACAAATCCAACAATACACATACCTCACAACTAACATCATACCGTATGTTCCCGGTTTGTCAGAGAAATTGAGACACATCGGTTATAAGTATAATGTAAGAACAACTTTTAGAACCACTTTTGACACAATCTAAACCCAAAAATACAGTTGAAAGAACGAAAGATTGTTTTTACAATATACCTTGTTTCTATGGAAAGAGTTATATAGGTGAAACCTCACGAACCCTAGCTGTGAGAAAAAATGAATATTGTGAATATATAAAGAGGAGACAGATGGCAGGGTCGGGCTTAGCGGATCATACATGGTTGCCATTACTAAGAAGAGAACTGAACTGAATTCTCAAAACACATCAAGTATGTGTGTGCATGTAGACTGTCGCGTGTGACATCTGGACATTTCATTCTTTCGACTTGTGTCAAAAGAAAATAGGTTTTGAAAACGAAACGTTAACTACTTAATTATGAAGTATCAATTATTAATTATTTCAATGGATTTTTTTTCAATTTGTATGCAAAATGTATCCAATAGTTTATATTACGCTTAAAGAATACGACACTGATAAATTATTGAACGAGACAAACATAATAACTGACACATATTCAACTGATGAACAAAGTTTAGAAGATATAAAAGAAAAAATAGCTAAAGAAAAACAGAAGCTAGATCAAGAAGTTGTCTTCTAGAACGATTCACAAATTAATTCATTTTATTTGATTCAAATGTTATGTTTTCTAATTATTCTATATGTCACAGTATAGTAAAGTAGGTATTGTCCATAAAAATAGTCAATTCAGTTCATTTCGAAGAGACGGCTATAGAAGAAAAAAACGACTAATCTAAGTTGAACTGTTTAATATTGAAATCGTTTAACTTGAGATAAGCATAGGTTATTACTCGAATTTTATGTATATTAATATGATAAAAAAAAAGTCGTTTATTAATAAAATCTTTTATTGATTATTTTGTGTATGTACATATATTATAGCTACCATAAACCAATTGTTACTTTTGTAGGAATAAATAATGTTACTAATAATGTACATACACAATGTATATATCCAGCAAACGTGACTCACGCCACGTTTGCTGGATATACTTGTATAATACTGTCAACAGTGCATGTATAACGCACACTCAACACTAATCGTCTGTCCGACTAGAGATGAGGAGCCTGCCTTCCGCTGACGTATGCGTGGGAGAAATGAAGCCAGATAAACTGACGGCGTTACGCCTTAGGTAACGAAGCTACTCTCCCATACGAAGTTAACACTTCAAAAAAAAGGATTGGACAACTTTTCATTAGGACAGAACATACTTTAAATTATTGAACATACGACGACACAAATGTTTAAATATGAGCACAATAGAATAATATTCCCCTAGAGCCTGCCAAACAATCATTCCTGCGAAATAATCAACATATTTATCTAAAAGTATAAAAATAAACAAAGTGCATTCAGAGGATTCCGTTTGAGAAACTATCATTCTGTAAGAATTTTTAATGTAAACAGTTTTGTTTGTGAAATGCNAGTATCAATATTCAATTTTTCCAATTGATTTTTTTCAATTTATAGGCAACATTTATGGGTACAACAAATTACTGACTAATTGGACTTCACAGTAGTTACTTTTCGGTGTAAACTTTTCAGTTTGCCCTTTGCTGTACTTCAGCAGATTCTCTATTGATTTATCTTACTTTTTTCCATATTGTGGAAGGTTATAAACCCAAATAACCGTATAAAATATTGGGTCCTCCACAAAAAATATCGTTTGAAGAATACTGTGTAAATTATTAGCAGTGAATTATTTAGTTTAAAATAGTTTACATTCATAGTTAGAAATGGATGTCTCAAATTTTGACTAAAGTCTAGCCAACCCAGTTGGCATCATCACAATAACAAGTGACACGAACTTTTTTCTGGAGAAAAATGAAAACAGTTTTCACAAATTTGTGTTATCAAACAAAATGGACAGAATCAAATACTAGTTTTGGGATGCTATTTATGTTATCTTCAGAATTTGTAGTGAGTGTAAAAATTAATTTTAATTTTTTCACCTTCTAGAATGGAAGTTCATTGTGTTTCCTGGTGTCGTTCCCTGAATCATTCAAATACTTATCACTTGCATTTCTACTTCCCACCTACATTTTCATTACTTGTTGTTTCATCCATGTATATCTGTTTTTTTCTTTTATTGTTCTAAACATCTCCTGTTATTCTCGTTTCACTAAGCCTCTTGCCTGACTTAGTATTCTTCTAGTTCCTAACATTTATTCTATCAACTTATTTTCCTTTCATCTTCTCAGTTTCCTTTCTACCTACTTACATAGTTGACGCCATCTTTCTCAAGTTGGCTTCTCTTAATTAACTTTGAACTTGTGTCGTCGGTATGATTTTGAAAACTGCAATGCCATGCAGCGGGAGGCAAAGTGAGGTGTAACTTATGCAACCCAGTGTTACTTTCAGAACATTCCAAATGATAAGTGTTTCCCTGTCGTAAAAATCCTACCATGGTAATGGGGCTTTGCCGTGACTTCCTTTCCATAGGAACTCGTGGCACCCGTCATGGACCATGAAATAATCGAAGAATCTGACCCTCAGTCTACAGAGATGGACGTCGACTAAAATACTTCAACTGTCCTTTCTGTAACATACATATAACATCGGATCAACAGTAAGAGCTTCTCAGTTCTCCATCTGTTGATATTCATAACAAACCTAGAAGTTTAGGTGGCATAGCCGGAAAATGACTTTTCCTCACAAGGAATCTGTCTTGGATTAAATATTTAGGCAATAAGAATAGAATCTACCCACGGACAGAAACCAAAGGCAAAAAATCCTCGAATGGCTAAATCCAAAGTATCATCAGATAAATGAAACACACTCATATCCTCATATGGGAAGGTTGCCGCGATCATTGAGGTGGGAATCTTATGCCTTGAACATCCGATAACCTCGATATTCAATCACCCGAAATCTTTTCAGTGTACCGTTATGGCTGCCATGAAGAATATTTCAGAAGATGGTCCATGGATACGATTCCAAAGCTGCACATTTCGGCCTGAATGGCTATAAGTTATTTGTGAGGGCCAGGAAAGTATCTCCTGGCTGGCGTATGCAGTTAGTACCTTGCAGCAATGGAAGGAGAATTCTTCTGAAGTGTGTCACAGGAGACCTATTTCCCAAATCACATATTTGTGTTGCTTACCTACCTGACGAAGGTGGTCACAGACTAATTGGAGATCAGGTCCTCACGAGATTGAGGAAAATGTCAACAAAGTGTGCATTCTGTACTTACTCTGCTGCTTACTCTGCAGTGTTTGGCAGAGTTTAAATAGGTGTGAGCTGTAATAAACTCTCACGGGTGAATTGGGGTGTTGAACAGGCCCACTTACTTCGGATCCACCTACTTACCTAGAAAACTGCAGCACGAATAAAATCTTCGAACATTCTAGGAATTCAATTCAAATATAGGCTATTGCTTTGAATTTGAATTGAAAGAAGCAAGAAGCCGATTTTTTCAATATTCTCTGATTTGTGAACACTTACTTACCTTCAAATCTATTTCACTAAACGGTACTGCAAACCATGGCAACCCCATTAAACTTTCCCTGTGGCTACTTTCAATATCACCATAGTTGTCGTTGTGGGCCCACATTACAACCTGAATCACTTCGAATTTCTTTTCATCACAGCAACTTTCACCTTTCAATCTACCGTATAAATCCCTCAGCTTTTCTATAAACTCATCGCTCTGCAGATTTATATTGGCAAAAGAAAAGTAAACTCCGGTTATGCTTGCTTTTGCAAGAACTTCACCAGTTGAAATCAATTCATAGTTGTTCGAGTTGTTGACAGAATCACATTTTATCAACTTTTTCCCGAAAAGCCGATCATGCCACTTTGTTTTTTCCATTTCTTCCAGGCTATCCGGCTAAGAGTTCTGCCCTAATGCGGCAAGTCGGCATGATTTTGAGATTCGAGAGTAGAGATGGCATCATGCCACCAAGAAATCCAATAATCAGAACAACCATCTTGACAGAGTGGTTGGACGATATTCTTCTCATCAGGAGTTGAAAACTCCACGACAAATATCATCTTGCTCTGGTTTATTAACTTGTGTGAACCTGAGGATGGAGAACGAATAGTTCCAATAAATTCGGCACTGTTCGTTCACCACGACGGATTCAATATCACCCGGAGCGTAGGACAACACCAGTATCTCGTCAATACCATAAGAGTGCCGTAGTAATGAAGCACTCTCAAGACCGCGTTATGTCGATTGATATAGGCTTAGACCACATATGCTAGACATGTTGCATGAGACGCCTTGCGACAGGCCCTGCACCTTGTGTCAGGAACCTTTACACCTATCACATGACTGCAGTAGACTAAGGTGGTAAAGACACCAACCTGACAGGCCATGATCAACTCCTCAGTTTCTGACTTCAGCCCAGTCAACCTGAGGAAAGCGAAGGTCCGGCGCTTTGATAAGCCAATGCCTTCAATGTTATTGAAGAACACCACATGCATTGGCTTATCCTTGTGTTACCGCAGGAGTGAAGTGATATATGAGGCTTTTATATGAGCCTTTTGCTGAACGAGTTCCAACTCGGTGACAGAGTTGTGATCACCTCGTTGAGTGTCGAAACCTAAACCAAGTTCACCAGCTGCTCGGGTAGCTGCCCCAAAGAGAAATGCTCCAGCTCCTGTCAACTTACGGTCGCGGACCATGCGGAGAAGTGGATCCCAAAGGGACCTGTCCCCAAGCTCCGACACATTCGTCAAGGCGTGCCAGCATTATTAACCATGATCATTCCCCACACCGTGAGGGAAGTGACCATTGTATCCGAGAATCATGTATCCTAAGCAGACGCAATGAGCCAAGAATGACAGCCTTTTACATTTGGTGTGCCAAGATTTCTGCCTTCGTGCGGCAAGCCGGTATGATCTCAAGATTCGAGAGTATAGAGGGCATTATTCCAGCAAGGACTCTAATAATCCCAACAATCATCTAAACAGATTGGTCTGGATAGAGTCTGCGGAGTTCAAAGAGACAATCTCGATACTTCAACCACTTTTCCTTCTGTTTTTGGATGATGTTCGCCTCACCGAGAGATGAAAACTCTCCAAGGAAGATCGTCTTGCTCTAAGGGTCGAAAAGAACTATTTACATCAGGCTCATTACCTTGTATGGGCCTGATGGTGGTGGACTAATGGTGAATCCCACAACGGATTCACTATCAGTCCAAAGGGTAAGGGAGCCAGGCTCCAACCTGTTTGAAATCAAAACGCCGTGCAGGTCCCACAACGGATTCAATAAAATGTCATCTATAGGATCAACAAAAGACTCTATCCTTGAAAATCAAAAATAAACGAGGCTCCCCAAAGCGGTCAATTGTAAAGCCAAGCTTCGACATATACCAACGTGTGTATATCGTTTATCTTTGATATTCGTGGATACAATATTATGTCGATCCCATAGTTTATGTTATATTATTATTTTATCATGAATGTCAAGAGTATTTGAGAAAAATGGGACAATATATTATCATCAGAAATCGGGTATAACTGCACTAAATATAGTTAACGTTATAATGAGTGCTAGTGGCGCAAGTTGTTTCAGTTGCACTTTTTTCTCCAGTTTGTACTTGAAAGGAATTTCTGTGCATTATCTGCAAATTACACTAGATAACTTTCGTAGAAGTTATTTCTTTCTTCCTTTCTTTGGAAGTTTCCAATATGTTTTGTATGATGATAAAGAAGAAGATAGCTGAAAAGCTTACCACTTTTCCTTCTGTTTTTGGATGATGTTCGCCTCACCGAGAGATGAAAACTCTCCAAGGAAGATCGTCTTGCTCTAAGGGTCGAAAAGAACTACTTACATCAGGCTCATTACCTTGTATGGGCCTGATGGTGGGAAATGAATATTTCCTATAAATTCTGTATTTCTCATTTCCCACAACGGATTCACTATCAGTCCAAAGGGTAAGGGAGCCAGGCTCCAACCTGTTTGAAATCAAAACGCCGTGCAGGTCCCACAACGGATTTGATAAAATGCCATCTATGGGATCAACAAAAGACTCTATCCTTGAAAATCAAAAATAAACGAGGCTCCCCAAAGCGGTCAATTGTAAAGCCAAGCTTACTTGGATCCTTGTTGTTCAGTATATATCCGAATAATTTTTATCTATCTTTGAAGTCTATAAAGCGCCTTTTTATACCGACAATACCCAACTGTATCACACATTTGACCCACAGGATCAGATGATATCCCAATAAACTATAAATAAAGATTCAATTCGATTGGAACATGACTCAAAAATGCATAATCTTCAGATTGATGACCTGAAATCTCATATCATGATTTCGGCAAATATAACAAGTACCTAAATAGAAACTGTCATGAAAATTAATATAGGAAACGAGTTGTTACATTTTAAATAAATTGAAATAACCTTGGTTTCTAACTAGATACAGATCTTCAATCTAAAAATCTCAACAACCAAAAATTGTGTCTTAGATTCATTTTTGAAATTGAAAAATTTGATCCTGTATAGTACAAACTGCAGTACGATATCAATCCTATATAACATTCCTATTTCACTCTTATTGTTCATACAATTTTCACTTTTATTGTTTATAAAATGTATAACTATAGGTATCCATCCTTCTCTGAGACGATTGAAAATAGCTGTCTTCAGAAAAGAATCTACAAGCTGAACAGATATGACTTTCACTCAATTTAATTTGAAGTGGAAATGACTTTCCAAAATTATTGCTATTTATTTGTACTCCATCCTTTTCCATCATTTGCAAATGTTTATTAGTAGGCCAAGAAATATTATCGTATTATTATAAACCAACTATAGTGTGTTTGAAGGTGATCGAACTAGTGTGTCGGGTTTCAACACATAAAACTGTTTAATTTGTCTAGAACATTTGATGAAAGAATAATTGAAAATAATTTCCGAAGGAACAACAAATAACGAGCAAAGAAAAGAGACAACTTCTCTTACCTTCAATGAGAAATCGCATCCAAAATTTCAAGCGGAAAATATCAAAAGCGGACTTCCACCACACCGGCTAATCGTTGGTTACCCGCCAAACCGGAAAGAGAAAGAGCGGTGACACATGGGACGGTACAATGACTTTCGTGTTACGTCCGCGAATTTGAAAGGCTTCGTCGAAGCGTCTGGAGCGTCAGGGTCAATTGCGAGAAGGCGTCGCGCCGGTACACCATCGACTGAAACGTTGAACGGTGGCTCAAATAGAAAGCCTTTTTGCCACATGCGCCTCGGGTGTACCTCATTCCACCTAGGAAAATCGGGCGGTGTTGAGACTCACGGCGAAGAATTCCACTGTTACTATAAAGAAGGAATGAATGTATGACTTGGTGCGTCATTATATATTCTTTTCTCGCATTCAAGAAAAAAGACACTGAAAAACTGGGTCACGTCAGAAATCTCATGTCGAGACATACGCAGTGTGCAATTCAAAATTTTCAACAAGGCGTAACTACCAGTGAAATAATTCAGAGCAACATCAATTTTGTTTGTGAGGGGTGGGAGGATTCGACCAGAAAACCGTTGCAAAATCTTCATGTTCGAATATCACTTTACTTTATTTTAGGATTTCCACTTTTACAAATTCGCAACACGTGTTTCACTATGGAACAGCTTCCTCAGGAATGTTAATTATAACTAAGTTATATCTAGTCATCGATTCATTAATGACTAATAATTCCACCTGACTTTTTGTATAAACTTATTTAGAAGTAAAATTCTCACATTTTGAATCGATTCTATTCAGTCATTCAGTAAATTTTTAGAATTCTTGAATGTATTCTGACTCACCCAAAACTTAATATCGGCCAAACGGGGAGAACTTTTTCCAAAAGATTGAAAGAACCTTGGAGTAGTTTTTTGAATATGACGACCAATTCCACATCTGCAAACCATCTTTTGGCATAGGAGCAATCA